TAGGGGCATACACATTAAGTTCCTTGCACGTGTAAGCAGCTCACTCCCTTGGGTCAGGCAGCAATGATTCTATGCTCTGTTTTAAATTAGTTCTGGCTTCTGTATTGGCAACACTGTGTCTTCCTTATTACTCTTAGCCCTTTCACTCAATTCCTTAGAGACACACATTTTCACCACAAATTTTCAACGAATTAAACCTTTCATTTAAATCAAATCAGTATTTTAAAAGCAACAGTTAGTTCATTCTTTTTTTTGGGGGGGGGGTTAGGTAGAGCTACTTATATTAACAATTATAAGCCAAAGACAAAAGATGTTCATTTTCTCCCAATTTCTACAAATGATTCATTCATTGAAGTAAAGCGGTAGAAATCAGGGAAAGAGTAAAAGTGAAACTGAGAGTGAGACAGAGTGATATTCCAGATGCTAGTTCACATTTCCAATCCCTATTGACAGCTAGAACAGGACCAGGAGGAAGCTAAGATTCAGGAATGCATCTTGGTCTCCTTTTTGGGTAGTGGATCCCCAAATCCCTGAGTTATTTCTGCTACACTTCCAGGCATATTATCAGGGAGCAAGATTCAAAGCAGTGTAGCCAGGATTCAAATACTCAAAATGGGATGGCAGCATCATAACTGGTGGCTTAACCCACTGCACCACAACACTAACCCCAACTTTCCCCACCTTGCAGTAACAATATGGACAGCATCTACTTTTACTGTAGGTGGCAGTTAAGCTCAGGCTTTAAATAAACCTAAAACACCATTGGTGTAGCTTACTGTCAATATTCATGTGTGTGTGTGTGTGTGTGTGTGTGTGTGTCCATGTGAACAAAATTAAATTACATATAGAAGATTATTTTAAATCTAGACTTTTTAAAATATCACTTTGCAAGAATATCTTTTTGTTATTGAAGAACTTTACACATAGCAAAATTATATCAATATATGAGGAGTAAAGCTTTCTTTGTGGCATTCATTAAACTTATTGTATAATTAATCAGTATTTTTTATTTTTACCAATAAAGGGCAAGTTGAATGTGGATGAAGAGCAAACTTATCTTTTTAATCCCAGTACAGCCACAAAAAATGCTAAACATATATTTTCTAGTATTGTAACCAATGTAATATAGTAATATAATAATAGTAATATCAATAAGAACAATATACACATATTAAGCAGATAATAAATGATGCATTAAATGCTTGTTTATTATGTGTAGCCCATAAGCTGCATTAGCAAACCTATGAGACGTACTCAAAATGCAATCTTTCCTTTTTTCTTTCATTTTTTATGACTTTTTTTTAAACTGGAGAGTCAGAGTTACACAAAGCGGGGGGAGGAACAGAGAGATCCTCCATCTGCTGGTTCACTCCCAAGTGGCCGCAATGGTCAGAGGTAGACCAGTCAGAAGCTACAAGCCATGGGTGCAGAGACCTAAGGCCCTGAGCCATCCTCTGCTGCTTTCCTTGCCCATTACCACTAGAATGCATCAGAAACAGAGTAGCTGGGACATGAACTGACACCATGTGGGATGCTGGTGTTACAAGTGGAAGATTAGCCTGCTAAGATGCTTCACAGGTCCCAACTTAAGCTTCTTTTACTCCCTCTAAATTTTATTCCTTGGAGATAATACCTTGACCAGTAGTCTCTTCCCGGTCATTATTGTCCTTCTGATCCCTCTGGGTCTGTAAGACTTAAAACTCTCCTAAACCTTTAATTTCTTCCTTTCTTTCAAATACTTTTTTTTTTTTTAACTGGAAAGCCGGATATGCAGAGAGGAGGAGAGACAGAGAGGAAGATCTTCCATCCATTGAATCACTCCTCAAGTAGCTGCAATGGCTGGAGCTGTACTGATCTGAAGCCAGGAGCCCAGAACCTCTTCCGGGTCTCCCATGCAGGTGCAGTGCCCAAAGGCTTTGGACCGTCCTCAACTGCTTTCCCAGGCCACAAGCAGAGAGCTAGATGGGAAGCAGGCCACTGGGGTTAAAACTGAAGCCCATATGGGATCCCGGGCATGTGCAAGGCGAAGACTTTAGCTGCTAGGCTACTGCAATGGGCCCTTAAACCTTTTGTTTCTATATTACAGATGTCCAATAGACGTCATGGCTGTATTAGAAAACATAGGCACTTCATGAAAATTGAGACAGGAAGAATACTAATCTACAATCCTATTATACTTACATCATCTCATCTATATCACTCAACAACTTTAGATAGGTTTATCCTCTCAAGCAGTAAGAGAGCAGAGACTTAAGCAGGTTAGGTAATTCATGCAGTGCCTCAGGATGCTGAAGATGATGATGGGCTGGCCTTCAACATCATCGTGAATAGGCTATGGAAGGGTTTGCTAGTAAGAATATTAATGGTTATTAAAGATGGCGATATTTCTAATTAAGTATGAAATCATAAAATATCTGCATTACTTAAGTGGCATATGCTTTATAGTTCACGTTTATTTTTTAACTCCTGAGTTCTAATTGGCTATAAAGGTATGTAATATTATAATTTTATAATATCATAAAAATGGCTATCATAGGACAACTACTTTGTTCTTTTGTTAAATATATTCAAGACATTTATTTAAGATAAGTTTAACTGTTAAGACAAAGCAATGCTGTCAGATAAGCGCATATTTTTTTTTTAAGATTTACTTATTTATATTGGAAATGAAGGTGAGATTTATGGAGAAAAGGAGAGACAGAAGATCCTCCGTCCGCTGGCTTGTACTCCAATTTGACACAGCAGCCGGACCTGAAACCTTCTGAAGCCAGGAGCCAGAACCTTCTTCTGGGTCTCCCACACAGATGCAGGATTCCAAGGCTTTGGAACATTCTCCACTGCTTTCCCAGACCACAAGCAGGGAGCTGGATGGGAAGTGGAGCAGCCCAGACATGAACTGGTGCCGCTATGGGACCCCAACACTTGCAAGGTAAGGATCTAGCTATTGAGCCTTTGCATGGGTTCCCATAGACGAAGTTTAAAAACTTCAGAATTGTATACATTCCAAGTACTTGCCAAATTGTCCAGCATAAGTTCCCAATGACAGGACACTGTGTGTAGACGCAATAAATTCACCATAATCCATCAGTTCCAGCTCTACAAATACTTCAGGTTTTCTTTTATCAGCTGCTGTTACTATAAATTTGGGGGTTCAATTGTGTTTGATTCCATACCAACTGTGATTTTTTTAAAAAGGTGTATTTATTTTATTGGAAAGCCGGGTATACAGAGAGGAGGAGAGACAGAAAGGAAGATCTTCCATCCAATGATTCACTCTCCAAGTGACTGCAACGGCCGGTGCTATGCCGATGCAAAGTCAGGAGCCAGGAACTTTTTTCCAGGTCTCCCACACGAATGCAGGGTCCCAAGGCTTTGGGTCATCCTCAACTGCTTTCCCAGGCCACAAGCAGGGAGCTGGACAGGAAGTGGAGCTGCCAGGATTAGAACTGGTGCCCATATGGGATCCCGGCACACTCATGCAAGGACCTTAACCCTTACGCTATCGTGCCGGGCCCCCAACTGTGATTTATCACATATATTCAATAAAAGCTGCTGCTCAGACCTCTTATAAGGACTAGGAAATATTTACATGCATTTTAATTAGTAATATCTGCAGATCAAATTAGTATATCTATTTATATTTTAGGAATGAACACAGTCAAGGGGTTCTCATCACCTGAGCTATGAAAAGACAATACATACTCCTAGACAATATTCAACTTACAAAGTCACTAGAAAGTGACCTGGCAAAGCCAAACTGATTATGTGTGTATGTATCTGTCTACATGTATGCAGATTTCAAAGAAATCTATTTCATGTTGGATGGTGATCACAGAGTAAGCTTTTCTAACTTCTCCTATATACAAGTATGAGATGATACGGGGATATACTTATATGGTGTGTGCATGACACATTCTGTAGAGGTGAAATCAGAAAACAAATAGATTTTAGTAACATTTATAATATTTAGCATATGATCTGTCAACTTAAAGCCAAGCCAAAAATCCAAATATAGTTCCTCTAAATATGATGGTAATTCAGAAAGTACCTGGGAAATGGGAAGAAAGGAAAACTTATTTGGATGCAAGAAATTCGGAAACCTATGCATATATATATATTTTTTTTTTTGAAACTAAGCAATTCCCACGCCCTTCTTGAAGACCTCTTGCACAGATTCATTAGGAAACACCCAAAGGGGACAACACTACCATGCCAACAGCAACCAGCACCATCAAATCTGAGACTGCAGCCAGTGTAAGCCCAGTGCACAGCCACACTCTGAGAGTTCAGAGCAAGCCCGTACTTTTTAATGTGAACTATTTCCTCAGAGCAGCCTCTCTAAAGGAACTTTGTGTAATTATCACTCTCGAGCACTGGAGACGAGGTTCACACAACTGCTCAACTAATTTTTTTCTAAAGTTAATTAAATAGTTACCCATAGCTATAGTGTTGTAGAGTGCAGAATTACAGTAAGAGCACCAGTTCATCAAGCAGTGCTTTGAATGTGATAGTCCATTACTACCCAAACACAACATATAACAGCTTACATAACGCAATATTTGTGAAATAAATTCCTCAAAAAGTATAAAGATTATTCTGAAATGTATAAAGATGCTACCTCCGTGATCAGAACAGCATACCATCAAAGTTGTGGGCAAAAATATATATTTCCTTCTGTAGGATAACTGCTTTTCCAGAAAAGATATTACTTTTCGCAGACAAATAAGTGCGTTCCAAAATAACTTAGAAACTCAAGATTGTAATGCTTAATTTCTCAGAATGACAGCCACAAGAACCTATAAGAAGTCCTGTAACCCAATGACGGAGCTGGTAGTTAGGATTTAAACGGCCAGACATTGAATAAGCACGTACTGCGACCTTCTTCCGGGTCCATCACCGCCTGCCCCGTGTGGAGGCACCGCCTGCCCCGCGGTCTCTGCACGCGCGCACCTGCGCCCCGCGCCCCTCGCGCCCCGGCGCACGCGGGCGCCGCCCCTCACCTTTCTCGCTGACGCTCTCGCTCTCCAGCTCCACATCCTCGCAGCTCGTGTACTCGGGCGTCGACACGCCCTCCTCCTCCGAGCTGCTCACCGACATCTGCCGCTTCTTGCCGCCCCGCTTGGCCCGGTGCGGCTTGGGCGGAGACGGCCGCACAGACTCCGACTGGTCGGAGCTCAGGGAGTCGTTCCGCAGCATGGTCTCCACCTTCTCGCGCTTGGCTTTCCGGATGAGGACGGCCGAGCTGGGGTCCAGGCGGCTCTGCTTCCTGAGGGGCTCCTGCGCTTTGAGCTCGGGGGCTTCTGCGGGCACCGGCCCATGCCTGGGCGCCGGCGGGCTGTGGTTCGTGAGCGGCTTGGCCCCCGGCGCCCTGGCCTCCACGGACCTCTCAGCCGGGTAGGCCCGCGGCGAGTCCGGCGGCGAGGCCCTGGCGGCCGCCGGCGCGCGCTTGCCGGCCTTGCTCTCGGGCGGCGCGGCGGCCTCGGTGCGCGGGAGCGCCACGTCGCTGTGGCGCCGCTCGTGCCTCGCGCGGGACACCCGGGCGTGCATGCGCATCTGCTGCTCGTCGGGCGGCGCTTTCACTGGGTACCGCGCCAGGTTCGGGTCGCTGCGGTACCTGGTCTGGTACTCCTCCTCCTTCCTCTGCTTCTCCTCGTCCGCCGCTTTGCCCTCCTCTCGCTTCTCCGGCACGTCGGGGTAGTCCTGCGATCGCCCCTTCTCCAGCCTTCGGCCTTCCCGCCTTTCTTTCCTCTCCCGCTCCTCCGCGGCCCCGTCCCCGGGCTGCGCAGGGGTCTTTGGCACCCGTTTGCGTTCGCTCTTCGGGGCCCCTTTGCCGTTTGGCTCTGACACTCCTGGCGCCTTCTTCCTGTGATAGACAGAGGAATGTCAGGCAGAGCAGCTTACATGAAGGGCCAGACTTGAGAAATTCCTTTCTTTGCACTTCCACTCTTATTTCAACTGATTAATTATAATTCGATGTAAAAACAGATAGTAAGGAACCATATTAAACCCGCATAGCTGGTTAGCTTTTCAAAATGCCTCTTCTGCATGACAGTATATTCAAGGGCTTAAAACTTTTTACATTTGAAGTTGCTGAATAAAAACTATCGAAAAACAATAAATGGACACGTTTTAGTCTAACCTTCGCTTAATGACTTACAGCGTTGATGAAAATACTGATTAAAAAACGTAGAAGCAAAAGGTAACAGAGAGGCAGCGACATGGCACTTGGGCCATCTACATTTACCTGTGACCCTGATCCAGGTTCCTGCTCTCTCCACCCCCACCATGAGACACCTGCACTCAGCTCCCAGCCCCCAGCCTCAGCCTGACCCAGGCCTGGTACTTGGAAAGTGAGACAGGTAATCAGAGCTAGCATCTGTCAGTTAAGATGCATAAATGTGTATTATCGCTGCAATACTATATATGTATTTTATATAAATATTAGTACATAGTGACAATCTTTTTTTTTAAGGATGTATTTATTTGAAAGGCAGATTTACACAGAGAGGGACAGAGATCTTCATCTGCTGGTTCACTGCCCAAATGGCTGCAATGGCCAGAGCTGTGCCTGTACAAAGCCAAGAGCCCGGATCTTCTTCCACATCTCCCACAGGGATTCAGGAGCCCAACCACCTGGACCTTCTTTGCTTTTCCAGGCATTTAGCAGGGGGCTGGAACCAAAGCAGAGCAGCAAGGACCTAACCTAAAACCCAGAATGAATGCCAGTGCTCTAAGTGGCAACTTTACTTGCTGTGTCACCACAGCATCAGCTCAAATGCTGACAGTATTTTGTAGTGAATTTTTAAAATGAGTGTTATACAAGTGTGTACATTTCAGAAATTAAATCTCATAACACTTCTTCAACAGAATAAAAATAATTTTAACTTCATTCTATGCCTCCAAACATTTCAAAACAGTTACAATTTTTTTTTTAAAAAAATAACTGGATAAACCACAGCTTTGGTTTTAACTTGCTCATGGAAATATGATAGAAATATTGAATTTGTTATTCATTCTTCCTCTGTATTCTTTCCTCTCCATGATTTTACAGTATGATCCAAATGAAGAAAAGTTTTAAGTTCAAGTTCTCCCTGCAGGCTATTGAAAACAGTAGCGAAGAGGGAGGGAGATGTATTTGACAATACTTGAATTATACAGATGTTTCATTTGGTTGTCCCTTCTTCATGCACATAATTTGGAAAAGTTTCAGTAAGTATATTACAAGTTATGTACAGGAGGTGTCTAGGCTAAGCATTCTGACTCTATGTTGTAATGTACAATTAAAATAGAGACAACACAACATTACACAGGAATTCTAAGGATCTCAGAAGGACACAAAGGTAAGATCATTTCATCTGAAAATGAACAGTAATAATAGTAAAACTCTTTGCTAAGATATGTAATAGGGGTGAATCTGAAGAGGGTGATCATGGTAGGGGAACCGTTTTCAAATGGCAGAGGCACACAAAGGGGATTTCTGAGTGTGGGGCAGGTACATAACATCAACCTATCAACAAAAAAGTGAGCCGAATCTGAAGTCGGAACTGTAAGAAGGGCATTATAATTTTAGAATAAAAGGGGTCTAATATGAACAATTATGAAATATTTGCACGAGAATGCATTGACTGCAGTAAAAACATTCAGTATTAGATGTTTATTCTGAATCCATTTACTTTTCATAATATGGTGATAAACACTTATCTTGCATAGTTTATAGATAGGATTGAAAACGAGACATCATCTATGAAGACGTTTTAGGAACGTTTAGAGTACTAAGGGGATGGAAAGAGTATTCTCCCCGATTCTAGCTCCAGTAATTGCATTTTTTCTTAGTTTGCCCTTATATGATCTTTTTTTCCCAGGGTCAAGCTTTACTCAACAGCTTGAAGCACAGTATCATTTTTGCCATGCTGTTCCTCTTGGAGGTTTCCTAATCCCATTTCTCCTTTCTACTTCTCCTACAACTGTCGCTTACTCACTATTGTTTTACATATTTATGTCACAGCAAAGGTATTTGTCCTCATCAATCTCCTTAATTTTTTTTCTATAAAAGTTAAAAAGTCTGCATTCAAATATCATCCTCATTTTTTGTAGTTTTTACTATACGTTAAAAAGAGAAGTATGTTTTCTCAGAAATGTCACATTTCTAAATTTTTTCTCTATTTTTAAAGATATCATCCTTTATCTGAACTCAAATTACACTTTCAATATTTTTGTCTCTTCTTCACCAATGATACTTTGTCACCAAATTCTATTAATTCTAGCTTTGCTGAGGTATCTCCGTTCTTCCAATTTTCTCTCAGAATATTTAAGTACACACATTCTCTTCTGCATTGTCCTATAATCTTTCTGCCCACCCCACCTCCCATGACAATTCAAAGCTTAACTTGGGCCCGGCGCAGTGGCGCAGTGGTTAAGGTCCTCGCCTTGCACGCCCGGGATCCCATATGGGCGCCGGTTCTATCCCTGCAGCCCCACTTCCCTTCCAGCTCCCTGCCTGTGGCCAGGGAAAGCAGTCGAGGACGGCCCAAAGCTTTGGGACCCTCCACCCACGTGGGAGACCCGGAAGAGGCTCCTGGCTTCGGACTGGGATAGTATCGGCCATTGTGCTCACTTGGGCAGTGAATCATCTGATGGAAGATCTTCCTTTCTGTATATCCACCTTTCCAATAAAAAAAAAATAATAATAAAAATAAATCTTTAAAAAAAAAAGCTTAACTCAGAGGCTTTTTTTTTTTTTTTGATGGGGCTCCCAGAGTATAAGATGTAGACAAGTATTTTCTTGTCTTATCCAGATTACCATCCTGGATTTTTACTTAAGAATCTATCTTCACCACACCATGACATGATTTCTTCCATAGGGCATGTCAGAGAAAAGGGCCATGTCCTAAGAATCCTCACCTCTCCTGATTCCTAGCGCAGGGTTTTCTGCAGTAAATATATGTGCTCCCCAACATGGGATGACTTGACATATTTTTAAAAATTTTATGATGGTACAGAGAGGATATACATTCAGTGGATCTGTACTTTAAAGCTTATGTTTTGATCTTTTCCAAGGCTGGTGATGTGTAATAGGAGATTCTCTTGCAATGAGGAACAGGTCCAGCAAGCTTTAGCTACTGTTAAATTCCAGAACCACAAGGTGACCACAACTTACAGCACATGGTTTTGCAAAGTTATCATGCTCACTTAGTTAGGTGTATTAAATGCGTTTTTTAATTTCATACTTTCATGGGTTTACTGAATCACAATATCATCTTAAAGTTGAGGAACATCTCTATATACTGCCAACTGGTTTGACTAACAGTTATATTCCTTGAATAATTGCAGTCTGCCAGGTTATAAACACATGTTCTGTTTAATAACTGGCAATGGCTTGTTGCCACTTACCATGGTAAAACTAAGATTAGATTCATAATCTGCTTAATTATAAAGTCCTTAATCTATGGTATGGGTTTTATTTATAAGTGGAATGAAATCCTTGCTTTTTCCATCACTGAGACAAGTAAGATTTTCACAGACACAAGCAATTGGACCTTGCTGAGGTCTTAACAACAGCCACTTCTCCAAAATGATGCCAGAAGAGTACTTAAAAGGTTCAAGGAGAAATGGAATTATTTTGTTGCCAACATCTTTAAAACTCCTGCATAGTTTTGTTTTCTTCATAATATGCATTCTCCATCAAAATTTTTAATACTCCCATATTTCTTAGTGTGTAGCATCATGTCTGGCCATAAATAAATTTTTGCCAATCAATCAGTTGAAGTAAAGTTATCTGTCCAAATCTTGTGTATTGGATTTTCATCATGCTTAGGATAAAATCTAGGATAGCCTGTCCACTCAGTCTGTTGCCAGCCATCTCCTCCATCTCCCTCTTGTCCTATAGCCAGTGGCTGTTCTTGAGAAGATCATCCATTGGAGTTGTTCCATCAGGCTACATGACTGTGAAGATACCAGGAATACTATCCATTCCCTTCTGCGGTTAATTTTTAGTCACTTTGTGGGACTCAACATAAAAGAAATATTCTTAAGGAAGACTTACCTGCAATAAATCAATATCCAAATCATATTTTCTCAGAGTACACTTTTAATAAAAGGACTACTTCTATAGTTGAAAGTGATCTAGACACCTGTGACTCCAAGATGGGAAGTTAACAGCTGTCAGATGGCTAAGCTTATGTAAGCAGCTGTTCATCCCATGAAGCCAAAGCTTGTCAACCAAGCTCTCCTAAGGAATAATGTATCCCAGAGAGAAAGAAAAAGCACATCAGGCTCTGGAAGGCCTTCCATGTGCAGCCTGAGAAGTAAAAATTACAAAGTCTTGAAAATGGGTTTTCATTAAAAACAAGATCTTTTGCTTACAGGGTGAGTAAACTTTACCTCTCTCTGGGAGGTTCACTTCTAGACCTGGATGAAGCCTGCTTCTGGTCGGGCCCAATGGCTTGCTGCACAGGCTCAGCCCCTTTGCTCCTGTCTGGTGGTCCACTTGGAGGAGTGGCATCCTGGGAGGAGACAGCTGCTGTGCTCAGAGGTGTCTGAGACCGTGACCGCTCCTGGAGTCGTGCTTTCTTTTCTCTTGGGACCTCAGAACCGGCACCTGTAGCAGTATCACTCAGGGTTCCATCCTGACTCGGTTGCTGAGGGCCACTTCCAAAGAACCATGCCCCAGATTTGGTTAAAATTTCTTGCTGCTTTCGACATAAATTGCACACCCACATAACCTATTTGAAGAAAAGGAGAAAATATAAAATCTTTATGATAGTTTTAAATGATTTATTGTCAATGCATTAAAATACATTGTGTGGAAGAAAACAATTCTATATGATCATATTTATTCTTGCAAAAATGATTTTGTACAAGTCACAGCATAATATATGACTGCTTGTTATGGGAACTGTCTTGTTTTTACATCAACATTTCTAGTTTGATGATTCTGAGTTTCTTTTTACCATGTATCTGTCACCTATCATATTTTCTGTGATTGACTCTGAAGCGTCATTTAAAATACCTGCCAGTAAATGTGTCCTAAGGGAGGTATTTAATTGCATAGAAAAATGTGATAAGGACATATAAAACTAACATTTACATAAACTTTAATGTTAAAAACACCTTGACAATATCTTCTCAAAAAATCATTAAATATTGTTATTCATATCAAACAAAGAAAATATTAGCTCCCCAAAAAAGTCACAGTATTTTTTACAGTTCATTCAGTATAAACTAAATTAAGATTATTTTTACGCCATGAATTGTCATTTCCCTTTCACTGTAACTAAAGCCAAAAATCTGAGGGTAAGTTTTTTGTATGTGACTATGTAAATATAACGTTTCCTTAGGGTCGCTATTTACAACACTCTTTTAGAAACATGTCCACTGACAAATTATGCGTATTAAAATAATCCAGGCTCGTAAAGAAAAACGTAAAGTTTTCTGTGATATGTATAGAACACAAAAAAGATACAGGAATGAAATGGTCACTTTGGGATACGTCTGCTCTTTTGGCTCATGTCTCTGTTTCAGTGGAAATGTGGTCTTGTGGTCTTTTTACTTTCACTTAAGTATTATGATTAGTGGAAAATTAAGCCTGTGAATATAGCATGGACTAAAATGATACCTGTGCAAATATTTTTAAAAAGGGAAGTGAGAACTGGTATGAGGGAGTAAAGGAGCTAGGGATGTAGGGCTGTCTTTTTGGAACAGCACCTACGATATGCAAACTCTGTTCTCTGTATTAAAAAATGAAATTAAAAAAATTAAGAACAAAAAAATGTTAAAACATGCATAATCGCTTGAAGTAAACTTACGTATCTACTCCCATCTTGATGACATACAAAATGAATTCAATAATGAGAATGGTGGCCATCAAAACACTGAATAATAATAACAACCTGCTAACAACCAGTAAACCAATGGACACAGGACAATACAAGGTGGCAGCAGCCCCGTAAACTCTACAAATAGCCTGAGTGCCTCTGCTTTTGTTTTGCTATGATTTCATCTTGTCCTTGTTGCCTCAGTTACTTTCCTTTGATTTCTGATGTTAGATTGTATGAATAATACCCTAAGGAAAAACTGATTAACAAACTCCAGGTCCTTGTTTTTACAAATCCTGACTCAGTCAATCATTATTCAAAATTATTGCCTAAGGATGAAGAAATCCTATATATAGTGAAAAAAAATGAGATAGCAACAGTGATGTTTAGTTGACAGAAAAACACAAAAATGTGTTTGTACTAAGATACACAGGGAGAAAATGTAACTATAGCCATAGAATAAAACAAATCCAGAATGAGAACAACAAAGTCATATGAATATGCATGCATTCACACGCACACGCACACACACACATACACACACACTATGCACACATGAGATGAACCGCTAAAAACAGCTGCCTTCCATGCAAGGAGAATCAGACAAATTAATAATATGGGAAAAGCAAAGACTTTAAAAGAAATGCTTGCTCTAAATGTTTGGCACTGATGAAGCTTAGTCGTTCCTCTGGACTTTTCCAAGTCGCAAATGGAAATAGGCCAGTTGACAAAAGCTGTTAGTTATTACATCTACATAAAGTTCTATAAATGATATCTGAGTCCCATTTACTAAGATGTTAAACTAGATAGTTCATTGCTTAAGCACATACTAAAATACAAAACTTTTGGAATGCAGCTTCTGTTTAAAATGCTTGCAAAATAGGGATTTATTTTTCATATTGCATTACCACTTCTTCAATTTTATGTAGTCCCTTAAAGCCCTGATTGCTTGATCATGGACATTTTAGTGATAACATTACAGAGAGCAAGTTCCAAATATGTGCAGTTCCAAGTACATCGTTAAGTTCCAAGTATATTGTGAATATGTACAGAATTGTGAATGGGTCAATAAAATCAACAGAATCTGTAATTATTAACTAAGAGTAACCTTACAATTTATTTTATCTCATTTGAAATTTAAAAGTTATAATTACTGAATGAGTAAAAGTAGAACAAATGCTTTAGTATATCATTTATTCACTTTGTAATACTTCATTTATTTTTTCCTAATATTTAGGAAAGTATTGCCTAAAACTAAATGTTAATATCTATTTGTTGTATAAAACATTTTAGAAGTTATATTTTAAAATTAGCTGTACACATGTTAACTTTTCCTCCTACTTAAAATCAGAATTAGAAAAACATTAAGATATATGTTTATTAAAATACTACCTCCGGATTTTAATTATGTTTATTTATACCACAGAATTTGACAATTAAAAGGAAAAGTGCTCACATATATGTTAAACAAACATATAACAGATTATAATAGGACATTTACATAGTTTTCGATATAGCTCCCATCACATGGTTCATATAGCAGGAATATACAAACGTGAGTCTCCTAAGAATTAGGAAGCATTGTCACATGCATTTTTAGGTTCTCTTTTGAACTGGTTTTTAGTTATTATATTACTTGAAGCCACACATAATATAAAAGCGAAGGAGGGAGACTTGCAACTAAAGAACAAAATAAAATACAACTATATCTGTAAAAATAATGCTTTACACACACACACACACACACACTTTCAGACTGAATTATATCCTGATTAATACTCTAGGATATATTCCAGACACATCTAAACTATAGCAGGTTTGTGCAATAACTAGGTAACAATTCAGTTGTTAAATAATCAAATGCAACTCGACGGACTGTTGTGATGCCAATTGGCTTCTGAAACCACTCACCATACTCCAGGAAAATGACAAATAACTAAAATTTTATTGTAACCATTAGCATTTTACATTTATTCTTTTCCATTTAATGAATGATTCTGAAATATAGTAGACAACTATGGAACCAACAGGAATTTTTTATACAGAGAAATAAAAATTTTATGTCTCCCACTATATATAGAGTGAAAATAATATGAATAAAGCTTTGGATTTAGCAAGAAAAAAAATTGCTTTTCATTTGCCTTCGCATGAAGAGTTTAGAGACTCAGCTGAAGTGAATAAGAAATGTGCCATAGATTTACCCTTGGTTATATTACTAAGGTTATTCTTTATGGTGAGATCCAGAATGCTTATATTGACACAGATGTATTGCTTATAACTATTCGTCTGAGATATCTAGCATGAGAGCATTGTGAGCACAATTCATAAAGTTTCCCTTTCAAAAAAATAAAGTGACATTATATTAAAGTTTCTTTTTTATGAATATATTTTAAAATTGATTTTAAATTCATTAGTATTTTGTAACTAGTAAGCACACTACCATTTAAAAAAAAACATGCAGGGCAGAAGACTGGAGATAATTAACCTATAGATGTTGTGTTTTCTGAAACTTTTACTCATTTTTCACACTTCTGTCTTCAGTTAAAATATTTATTACAGTGTAAGAGGGGAAGAAATTATACGGTCATATCTTAATGCTGAATAACCGAAACAAGAGAGTAGAAAATAGTAGATGACTGAGAGGAAGAGAAAAAGCACATTAAGTTTTTGTTATATTGTATTTTCCTGATTTTCTTTTTTGTTCCTATAAGTTTATTTTTTCTCTTTGGAAGTTTATAAAATGTATTATGCTGATTTCTGAAAAATAAAATAAAATACATGTTTTCTGGCACTGTATTTAAGGGGATGTGTAGTAGAAGTGTTGTGGAGACTGACATGTCCAGATGTGGAGACACAGTTCAGTATGCATCTCCACATCCAGTGAAGGATGGACTCCCGGTGAAACTGTTGAATATATCCTGACAGTAGGATGCTGGACTCTCTGTCATTGTCCATGCCTACAATGTTGGGAAACATTTCAATAGTGGATGATGGACTTACGACTGTTCATTAAGGACTGCCCATCATAATACTAGAGGGAAGATCAGTGTGTATGTTTAGGGGAAACACTTGGGAGGCAGAAGGGCAATCCCAGAGCCAATGGATCTGTATCATAAAATAATAATAAAAAATATAAAATATGTCATGTACCTGTTTTTCCTTTTTAATGAGTTGTGCACTGACATGCTCACTATTTTATGAATGACATTTTGGTTTCATTGTCCAGGCAAAAATAAAAAAGACAACTTAGAGTCCACAGGAAATCTGTGGTCAACTTCTCATTTTAATATTATAGTATGAGTATTTCCTTGTGATTCTAAAGGATTATACAACCTTTCAATAAGTATAAATATAAATATCCTACAGACATATTTCACTTACCTAACCATTAAACGTTCTACATTCCTTCACGTTAACAGAATTCTACAGTAAACAAATGTGTTTTTTTTTGTCACTACATGTTCATATTTACAGCCATTCTTAAAGAGGACGTTGCAGAAAATATCACATTATTGAATAAAATCTTAGAATACCTTTAAGCAGTGCTCCTGTCATCAGTGTGATTATAGTTAGGGTTTTAGTATATTTTGTGAAGTTGCTTGCTAAAAAAGGTTTTACTAAATTGTAATCAAAGAATTAACAACTGCATTTTATAATCTTATAAGTTGATGATGTTCCCAAACTCTTGATGTGTCATGTTTCTTTTTTTAAAAAAAATGTTTATATTTAATTTATTTGAAAGAAATAGAGAAGGACAAAGAGACAGCAGCATTTTTCATCCATTGATTGACTCCTTTTCAAATGCCTGCAACAGTCAGCTCTAGGTCAGATCTAGCTAATGCTGAGTACTGGGAAATCAATCCAGTCTTCCACTATGGATGTCAGAAACCCATCCATTGAACCGTCAC